TTCTAAAAAGATTGACTTCAGTTAAAAATACATCCATCGAATTGTTTGGTTTTTTTTTACAGCACAAACTCAGCAAATTTTTCAGCAATGCAAAACTATAATCAACTACTAAACTTTTCATTTTGGAACAATCACCAAACATTTTTGATCAAAGAGAAAACTGAGTGAGCAGAATGTATAGTCTATAAAAAGGAAAATTTTTAGCTTGTTTTTTTTTTTTTAGCCCCCTTTTTTACTTGTGAAAATCATTCATTTTTTACAGTTACTGTTTAAATTTTTTATGAAAGACAATGAAAAAAAAAATACAAAAAATTAATTATAAAGGAAAAATAGAAAAAAATAGAAGGTTCAAAAAGCAACTGATACTTTTGGTGTATAACAAATATTTCAAAACATTTTTTTTTGTGTGTTCATTGATAGATATTCTTTGTTCTGACGTATATCGTTTTTATTTCTAGATTAAATGACAAAAAAAAAGGGAAGAACAATAAAACTGAAAAGGTATTAAACCTGCTAAACAGAACTAATAAATACATACAAATAATCACAGATTTACAGTTAAATGATTAAATCAACTGAACCGACTGATAAGAACTGCTGTTAACTATATCAGTTCAAGTAAATTATAGGTGAGAAGTTGGAAGAAACGGAACGGAACTACGAAATGGAATCGGAAGAAGTCGGTGTGATAATATTGCCACTGATCAGTAATTTGTTGTGCAGTAATTTATCCATTTCTTTCTTTTGTTGATTAGGAAAAAATTAGAACGCAAAAAAATAGCAATCTAGTTTTAGCGTTAATTATCTTAGCTTATTTAGCAACATTTGTAGGCATTAATTGAAAAAAAAAAATTGAAGTTCTGTGTAAATGTGTATCTGACAATTCTGTTTCTTTTTTTTCACCAAGTTTAACGTTCTTCCAATGCTATTCAAAACCTAAAATTTTGCTCATTTTTTGTATGCTCTTTTTTCATTTTTCACAATTTTTTCTACTTCAAATCATTGAAGCTTCTGTTGTAAATGCTTATCAGTTGTAACTGTAAAGTTTTGCATTGCTTCCAGTCAATTAGACAAAGGATTGCACTGTAACTAAACTTGGCAATTTGCTGTACACATCCGATAAACCTTGACTTCTGTTAGTTCTTTTTTCTTTTTAAGTAAATTTAGCGCAGACTTTAAATAAAAAAAGGGTTTTTTTGGTTGATTCTGAATATTAATTTAAAAGCAGTTGTCTTTTTTTTTTTTCAACTTTGCTTATTTTATACATCTGCATAAAAGGAATATTTTTTGGCGTATTGTATCCATTATTTCCACCTCTTATTTGTTGACTGCTCGTATTTGTTCTTGGTTTCTTTTCTAGAGAGCTATGAGGAAAGGGGTGGAAAGGAAAAGAAAGGTTTTGTTTCGAAAAAAAAAAAAACAATTGACATACAAAAACAAGAAAAAAATAGCGGAAAAAGAAGCTTTTTTAGCCCTTCTTCTACCGCCTTTTCCGGTTTTTCCATCTATTAAACAGCACCGAAAGAGTGATACAGAATAAATTACCATCATACTTTTAACCAAAACGAATACAGAAGAAATTGAAGAAGATGGAGGAAAAGAAAGATAAAAGAGAAAGAAAAGCTAAAAATAAAGTTGATTTTTTTTTCTTCATTCAGAAAAATAGAACATTGTTGAAAAAATAGAAATTTTATTTTTGTTCTATTAGTCGTGTTTTTTTTTTTTTTTTTTTTTTTTTTTTTTT